AAAAAAAAAAAAAAAAAAAAAAAAATCAAGAATAGGTTTATTTCAACAAAGGACTGTTTCCTGACCTCTCCATCTACCCCAAATCACCAGTGCCCCTATTTTCCTTTATGAAAAAGCAACTTCTGATTCTGCACACAAACAGGTATGTATGTGGATCTTATATATAAAGTTTAGTACTGCTACAACCCTGTGCAGTTTCCCTATTTATACTTGCATGGTCTCCTATAGTCTATCTCTGTCTAGAGAGCTACTACTTTTGAGGGCCAGCTGGGTGGTTGTCTCATTTTTCTTTCTTGCTATTCTTTAAAATCAAGTTTCTGCAATCGTTAATTGATGAGCTAAAGCAAAAATTTTGAACCTCTTCCTGAAGTGAGCCTTCCCTGACACTCCTGTCATTAAATCTTTTGGACTAGTTTATTTAGGTGGTCTCCTAAACCAAACTCTTCTAGCAGAAGACTGGGAAGGGTCTTGTAGCTGAACACAGGACCACTTTACTGATTTGATACCATTTTGTTATTAGGTGTAGTAAAAATTGGGGCAGTCACTAATGCATTCGGAGCCCATGGTTTCCTAGATTAAGTATCTATTATGCTCTCTCTTTTCCTACATTGGCACTGCAAGGTCACAGAAAGCTATAGTCCTGTTGGCCTCATCTTGTCTGCTTAGCCTGAACTTTACCTTCTATCAGGAAAGTACTCTTAGAAACATCCTAACCTCCTGATCCCCTTTTTCCAGTAAATGAACCCTCGACTGAGTCTATAATTTATCTTTCCTCTATAGTGGCTGGTTGAGTCCTGTGAAAGTGTCACATAACTGCACGTTGCCATGAAAAATTGCTAGTTTTTAGTAGATCGAGTCTTTACACCACTTGTCAGGATCATTTATGATAGAGCTTTCACTGGCTGTAACAGTTATGGTAGACATCCTAATTACCAATCAGAAGTGATACATTTCATTTCTCTTTCACCTAGTAATAATAGTTGAGGCTATCCTTGTAGCCACTCAAGCATACAGTTCTTTTTATCTTATTTAATTTTCCCCCACATACTCACTTGGCTATTGATGTTCCACTCTTTTTCCACATTCCAGGTAGCAGAAGGGAGGAAGAGGGAAAGCAGGCCGCTCTTAAGGGAACCACCTGGAAGGTGCTCACATTCCCCTGGCCAGAGTTATACTCACTTGTTACACCTAGCTGCAGGGACAGCTGAGAAAGTCTACTTTAAAAACATCGAGTATTTTAAAAGTTGAAATACAAAATATATACTCAAACATGCAAAAATTAAAAATGCACAGCTGGCTGAACTTCCTTTAACAGAATGCATGTGCATGATTTACCTGTAAAAACAGCTACAACACTGGAAGCCTCCTGTTGCTCCTTCTAGGCTTGACCTTGTTCCCTGGGAATTCAGTACTCTGAGTTCTGCTTCACCTGCTTTTCATAAACAGAATCATTCATGCATTATTTGTGTCTGGATTCTTTGCCATGGTATTATATGAAAATCACCTATTCTATCTATAGACATTGATTTATCTCTGAACTTTGCTGGACAATGGAAGCTGTGAATCCCTTCATGTTTGTTATGAATATATCCACATCTGTATTTATATATTTTCTTTTCTCTGTCACATAAATGGCACATCACTCCTGCTACATTCTGTCAGAACAGTCATAGTCCCTGCCCTGATTCAGGAAGGTAGAAAAATAAAATTCAGATCATAATAGGTCATATTGTATAACAGCACTGGAGTAGGACATACTGTGTAGTCATCTTTGTGACACCTAGCTTGAGAACATGTACTGTTATTTAAAACCATAATAATCAAACACAGAACTGTGACAAATGCCATTGTTTTAAGCCATCAAATTTTTCAGTGATTTGTTATGCAGCAATGAATAACTATAACTAAGTTTATCAGTTACCTACTTTATCTTGAATGCTGCATAATGATCCACCCCAACTCTGTAGATTTCAATAAGCACTTACTATTGCTCACAAATGTACAGGACAACGGGATGGTCTTCAAAATAGCAGACAGGCCTGGCTCATTTGAGGCATCAAATTTATTGGCAGTCAGCACATGTGGCTGGAGAATAGCTTATGTAGCACAGCCTCACTTGCATACCTCTGGCATTTTGCTGGCTATCACCTGGTACAAGAGAGGTGACTGGGCCATGTGTCTCTCATCAGGCAGGCTAGACTGCCCTTATTACGGTAGCAGGGTAGAAATCTAATACCACAAGTGGAAATGTTCAAAACCATCAGAAGTCTATTCAGGGCAGGCACACTAATTTCCTTTGCATTAAATTGGCCAAAACAAGTCACAGCTCAGTCCTCCAGATTTAAGGGGTTGTTAAAGTAATTCAACCTCCTGGGTGGCAGAAGCTGCAGTCACAAGGCAAAGGCATTAAGAACAGAGAAGAATGAAAACTGGGGACAAATTGCAAAATATGTATACCAAATAAGTAAAAACCTTACTGCTTTAATAGTACTAAAAGGAAAGAAAGATTCCTATGAGGCAGACCATAATTAAATTATACTGCAAACAATCTTATCCTTATCCAAATTCACGAATGGACAGCTGCTGTAATGTATTTTAAAAGGTACCCTGGGTAAAAGATTCAGAGGCTCTCAATGATCTACACTGAGATTTAATGACTTAATCATCTTGAAGTTCTTCTAAATACCCAAATTGAACCTGTTTCATTCAGCTTTCATTGGCTTATTATGTTCCCATTTCACTTAGTTCATTTCAAAAAGCATAAGCTAATTCTTTTCACCTCAAAAGTTAACTTTAGCTGTAGGGATTCTAATGTTCCAAATACTCTAAGTATGGTAACAAATAGTAAGTGAATTCCTCTGAATCCAGTGCAAGGCAACTGAAGAAACATACAGAGTAACTAATGAGTGTTCTATTTTATATAATATAGATTATATTTAAATGTGTAAAATGACCAAAATTTGGCATCTAGGTTGGATCCTGCCACTTAAAATTTTATCTACATATATTTGATTTGATTAAACAGATATTTTCTTATTGTATATATGAGACACACTTGTATATTGAGTAGTAAGTCTATTTATGGTCAACAGCACTCTTTCCTACACTTGTAAGACCTCTAGAGAAGTTCCTTAGTTCCATATTCTGCCTTAAGTGTAAAAACTCAGCAAATATATACAAAAATTTATATATAACTGTTACATTAATTACTGCTAACCTCACGGTGTAGTAAATGTATTTGTGTTTCCAAAGTGTATAGGTCTTCAAAGATACAAACCTAAAAATCATTTTATATACTGGTGAGTTCCTGACTAAAGTTGTTTATGGTGATAAAATCTTTTATAATTGTTATAGGACTATTTATAACAGTATGTGATTTATGGTTGCTAAGTGACCTCCCCAGACTTTTTCAGCCCTATGTAAGTTCCTTACATGGATCACAGGTCCCTAGATATAAAGATCATTAGGGTAAACTCTTGAATAAAAGTCCAACTGTTTTGTACAAAAAAAGAAAGAAAAATGAAGTAAATCGGACAACTCAGAGGTCAACAAGAGGATTTTAATGAATAATTCTGGCATGTGTTTTTGCAGATATATCTATAAGTATAATACATAAAAATGAAAAACATTCTTTCTCCCCATAAATACTTATTAAAACAGATATGACTAACTTTAACATGACAGGTATTTTGAGCTTAAAAACTAAGAAACTAAGAAATTTTTGTCCAGTTCATCTTGAGACACATTGTATTTATTATTCTAATATTGGATATACCCTCTTGACACTTGCTTTATTATTGTTGTTTGCCTTTTTAAAGTTTTCCTAGGAGAAAGAAGAAAGAAAGAAAAAAATACAAGAAAAAATATGTTCAGATTACCCATCATTATTGAACAGTACTTAGGAATAACATGTTTGTAAAACAGCTCAATTTTGAAAAGCACTAAAAAAATGGTAAAGTGCTATTATTCTTATTTTCAGGATCTCCTTTTAATGAAAAATGAAGATAGGAAAATAAATTTATCTTGGTATTGGTGGGCTAAGATACATCAGTACTTTTAACAAATTCAACATACTAGCGGGTCTGCTCTAAAGAGGACAATACGAATATGTCACATGAAGTTGAAAACCAGCTTTAGGAGATGTACATTCATTCTGGTATATTTAATTCCTCTTTTAGGTTTTTACCAGAACATCTCTGATTTCACAGATAAACAATGACCAATGATTACTTTCCTAATAGATATAAAATGTTTACCTTTTTGACAGCTTCAGTGTTAACTACAAAAAAAAAGTCATAAGAATCTGATTCCAGGTGCTCCATCACATGTAATCATAGTAATATCTATCAGGATTTCTTAAAAGGAGCGATATTGGTATTGTTGGGGAAATAATTTTTAGTTGTGTAAGATTATCCCAGTCACTACAGAACATTTGGCCTTCCTGGCCCAATCATTAAAAACAGCAGTTTTCAAGTTCACTATGACAACCAAAAACTATACCCATACACTTCCAACTGCCTTTTGGAACTTGATGGCTCAAAATTTTTATCTATTAACTTCACAACTTCCACAGAAAGTAACTGCTTCACTACCTTCAGTAACAGTGACTAAAGAATGTATTTTTAAAAACTGTTGTTAAATGTTATTTTGGGAAGATAAGCTGATTCCTTCAAATTCAAGGGGATTTGAAAAGATTATATACAAAAAGTCCAATACTTATTTATAACCAATACACAATACATTTACAGGAAAATGTTTACATTCTATTGACATATCTCATGCCATTTATCTTTGGTATAAAAATATGTTCATATATTACAATAAAAAATATGTCCAGGTTCTTGATAAGTTCTATCACATTGATGCTCCTGGAAACTGCTGCTGTCTTTGCTCTAAAACTTGCTGGTTTAGTAGTTGCTGCTGTTTTTGTAAAAACTGCACTACTTCAGGACTTCTTAGCAAGGACTTAAAGAGAAAAAAACAAAAATTATTAACAGCTTTGTTATGTGATTAGACTATATTTCTCCTATGGAATCACTCTGATGTGTCCGTACACAAGATACAATGTCCTTACAAAATAAAACATGCTGCCGGGGATTTAGCTCAGTGGTTCTGCTGCCTGCCTTGCAAACACAAGGACCGGAGTTCGATCCCCAGTACTAAAAAAACAAATAAATACATTTTAAAAAATGCCTTACTGTAATTAATAATCAAAAAATAAAATGTGATGCCATATATCACAATGCTAAAATTTAAAAATAATGTTTGAAGCCAGATGTCATTGGTGATTCAGCACACCAAGGAAATGCTTTCCAAGCTATGTTAGCAAATATAGTCCCTTGCGACATGTAAGAACACACAAGTGAATACTGAACAAGGATTACAGCAAGGTAAAAAGGGTTCAGATATGAAAGTAAGAGTTAAATGTAAAGTTGAGCTGTAGATATATAAAATCCAGAACTGGAATTCAAGTTTATCCTATTAGTCTAACCCTTCATGAAGAAATTAAGAAATACATAATTATGTACACATGTATAAGTATGCATACACATACAAAAATAAAATTACTATTAGCAATTACTGAAATTTCAGAAAAAATTTAAGTTCTCTAAAATAACCAGTATTTTTTTTGTATGCTTACCATTTTAAAATACAGATCACATCATATAATAAATATAATAGACTATGGTTAATATTTTTACTATAATAAGATACTTGTATAAATTCATAACAAAAACTTTGGTCTCAATAAGTTCAAAAAGATAAACCAAATAAGATGGAAAATTAATATTATTGATTAAAATTTATTATGTACTTTATTATTTTATAGCACATTTTCTATATATTAAATAGTTTTGTTTCAAAATTATTTACATAGATTGTCCAATGTCCTCTTAAGTAGATTCAAAATAATCTAATTAACTGTAATGAGATTACTGGACATTTAGGTTGCTTCAATTATTTTTTATTATTTCTAATCAATATCCTTACACTTTATTCATATTTAGAATTTATTTTCTAAATATGGATGTTTTCAGGTTTGATTTCTAAGTCATGCTGTCTAACTACCTTGTAAAAGTGTCATGCCAACACAGGATGCCGTTAAAAGAAGTACCCATTTTATGGAATTCTCAACATAACTGTATGAAACTTTTAAAATATTTTTTGCTTGTTGTTTACTGTGTCATTTTTATTAATATTGAATATCTTTTGATGTCATTTAATGGTAATTTTTCTACATTTTTTCTATTTATATATTTTGTAATGTATTGAGGCCAAATTTTTTTCCTCATAAAGTCATATGAAATGTTCTACCCAGCACGGTGGTATGCAGCTACAGGCCCAGCTACTTAGGAGGCTTAGGCAGGAGGATCATCTGAACCTGCACCCAGGTTAAGACCAGCCTGAGCAATGCAGCAAAGGCTCCCTTGGTAAAATGAATGAAGGAATGAATCAGTGCTTTACACAATAAATATTTCAGTCATTTAACCACTGCTTTTTATATTTGTTCAATTATTTTTCCTATATTATTTTGCATTTTGATTTTCAGCATCATTTTTGGCCACTGCATTCATTCATTGTTATGCAGTGAAATTTATGCTCTTTTCTTTGTAACTCTTTTAAGCTAGAAAATCTCTTTCCAGATTTTTTGAGACAAAGCCTCAGTTCAATTTTTTTTTTTTTGGTACTAGGGATTGAACTTAGGACCTTGTGCTTGCCAGGCAGGTGTGTTGCCACTAAGCTAAATCAATCCGCAGTTCGATTTAAAAAAATTTTAAGACTACTATGAATTTATTCTGATGACTACTGAATATGTGATGAAATAAATTCTTTTATGTCCTCAAATTACTATCCAATTATTCCAGTTAGTGAATAATGTCTCCTTTTCTAACTCCTCTATGTCTTCTATTGAATTTATAGTACAGATTAACTCTTGGTCTAATCATACTTCTACAGCATTAAACACTATTCCACAAACCTCAGAATTCAGTATAAGAAGTCTGTTTTAAAATGCCAGCTTGCTCAGATAATCAAAGTTTGGTCAGTGAAGAACAGGACTAAAAGTGTTCCTGCTCCTGCAGTCTTGGAAGAGTGCCTGTGAGGTTCTAGTATGTACTGTCAAAAAGGCACACTTCAATTCTGATGGTTAGCAATTTTTTAAATCTTAAAAATCAAAAGATTTATCTATAACAATTTTCATTAACAGATTCATAACTACAAGCAGACAACTTACCAGTCTTTTCTGATTTAACACTTGTTCTAAAAGAGTAGGCCTTGCAGGACGATCCCCAAAAGATCCTGTTTTTTGTTTGACCATGGAAAGAATGTTATCTGTACTTTCCTGGAATAAATGATAAAACAAAATGAGACTAATAGTTAACACAACATAATAATCCACAACAATGGGCATTTCAGGGATCCAATAAATAGGCCTTTGCTTTTATTCCTTTTGTCCAATGCCTGTAAAATTTTGGGAGAGGCCCTTGCTAAGTCCTAAGTGAAGGGCAGGCAGTTCATTTTATATATTCGTCCTCATTCCCGCTCTCTCCAGGATTTCCAATTTGGATTCTTCAGTCTCTTGAAGGGTCTCAAATTAATAGTGGAGCAAAAGTGATGCGAGGAGAGTGAAGGTTTCCTGGTGAGCTATTCTTAGTATTATAAAAAATGCCAAGCAGGATTAAACATTCTCCTCATATACAACTATCTAGACCAAAATAGTCTGCCTGCTTTTGCATGAAATATATAAATTTAGAGATAATCTGTATATTGTTAACAGTGCTCTGTTAGTTTTTTGCCCAATTCATAACCAAAAGGGGGAGCAGTAAAGTACTGCTTAAAGAAGCAAGTGATTAAAAAGCTTTCAGAATTCAGAAGTCACTAGGAGAAAAATTATAAACTAGTTTGAAAAGGCTAAAAAGCACTGGTAGAATATTCAGTCACTATTATAGATAAATCAGGGTAAGCCCTAAAATACTACTACTACTCTTAGATATTAAAATTTAAATAAAATCAGCAGCACTTACTACTAAATATGTAATTCAAGTTACATAAAGAATCAATTTTTAGTACTTAACAATTTTCCTGGAATAACAGTTGCTTCATATAGCACAGTTCTTAGATACACAGTTTAGATTATTATACATGTTTATGCCCTATTTAACTTTGGTTTGTATTAGAAATAATTTTTGTTTTTGAGACACGGTCAGCCTGGCCTTGAACTAGTTAACTTAAACGTTCTAACTCTACTAAAACCAGGATACAGTACTGACAATATCCAAAAATTTTCACTAAACAAAAAAGTATAAAATGTTTTACCATAAATTTACCATGAATTTAATCTTTAGTTATTCTTTATTTGGGATTTTATCTGATTTTTCTTCTTGGCCTCTCTCCTGGCCTTTAGGCTGTATAGAAAATATCTCTACTTCTTTCCCTATGAGGTTTTGCAACCTGTTACAAAAGTGCTCTCTATCCCTAAATTATTTGGCTCCAAACTGTAAATATTCAAAGATATTCTAATAACTACAGAAAACAAAAAGTTCCATCCTCTTTCCCCACACAGTTAACTTTATGAGATTGTTTCACTTTATGTGCACAATAAATGGAATGCTGGAATTGGCCTGAAGGCGGAACACCCTCCATCCTCACAACCACAGACAAAGCATTTCACAGATTTAGAATGTTTATACCACAAAACCACAACAGCACTTGGTAGAAATAACCATTCAGTCATCTAGCCCAAACTTCTGCAAGTGATGGAATTCCCTTTTTGAAAATATTTCAAAATTTTTGTCCAAAGGAGTTTACCATTTGGTTCTGAATAATTCTAACCTTAAGACAACTTTTAATGACCTTGAGCTGAAATGTATCCTTGTGATGAATCTAGTTACTGTAGAACTATGCAAAATAAAATCTGCTTCTCCCAAAAGGTAGCTTTTTAGCTAATGAGAATGATTCCAGTCCATACAAGTGAATTATCTCTAGTTGCTTCATATAGCACAGTTCTTACATACACAGTTTAGATTATTATACATATCTATGCCTTATTTAACCTTGGTTTGTATTAGAAATACTTTTTGTTTTTGAGACATGGTCAGACTGGCCTTGAACTTGGCCTCAGCCTTAAACTCATGGTGATTCTCCTGCCTTAGCCTCCCAAGTGCTGGGATTACAGGCATGTACCACCACGCCTGGCAGAAATACTGATTTTAAATGCCTCAATTTCTAATTTTGCTGTTGCTCACCCTCAATGGCAGAAGACCCACCCCAGCACCCCACCTATCCATTTTATAATGATCTCTTATAGTCTCTAAGTCTACAGGCTGTCAACTTTAATCTTCCCTACTAGAGTAGGATCCCTTAGAAAACTTCACTTAAAACATTCCAAGCCCAAATCCCACAGCCATGCAGTCAATATTATACAAAAATTGGCTTCAATATCTTTCCAAATTTACCTTTCATGAATTTTCTTTTTCTTCAATAAATTTTTATTAGTAGTATATGTTTGCAATACATAATAATTACATTCATATATGTATTACATTTGTTCATTTTTACTTCTCATCTCCCCTCCTCTCTCCATTTTTCATGATTTTCCACACAACTATCCCAATTAGCTACAAGAATGGTCAACCTGCTCTCTTGCCAAAAGCATCTTCTACTTCCTTTTCTTTACGGAAGTGCATTACTCTTATATCCACCAGAGTTCTAAGGAAGCTTTATAATATGGGAATAAAAGGAAGGAAGCTCCAGAATCAGCTTGCTTGTGTTTGAGTACTTGCTGGCTGCATGACCTAGGCCAACTTGCTCTTTCTAAGCCTCAATTTTTACCTAAGTAAAACACAGGGTTCTCACTGCTGAAGGATTGTGAGACTCAAGTTGTAGCCTAGCAACTAAAAAACTTAGCCATCCTTTCTCACTTATACTAAATTACATTTCCACTGAAAAGCCTTTCCAGTGTATCTTTTCAATGTATCTATTATTCTTCCTTAAACCATTAGAACAACACTACATGGTCACCCTTAGAATATATTACATGGCACTTTACACTGCATTCAAAAAAGATCAAAACTCATAGCTCCTCTGCCTCAGGAAAAATGTCCCACAATAACTGCCTGGAAAATTGTCCCACAATAAAACAAATGGTATAATAGGCTGTTACTGCTTCCTTAAAAAAATCACAAATTGCTTATAATGGGAAATTAGAAGATTATTTTTAGGGTATGGATAGGGAGATGCTAATTCAGTATTTATTTGTCCTTTATTCAATTTCCTCAAACTATGGACATAAACGCTTGGTAGTTAAAAAAATAACCACTAATATTTTTTCATTAAAAAGAAGTATTTTCTCTCTGTAAAGAATTCTAAAGTGGATGGGGCACCTAAGGAACAAACCTGATCACTTTCACTTTCATTCTGTACTAAGTAAAATGCTTATTTCCTAAATCCTTGTAGTTGAAGACTTGGTAAAATATTTACAAGGATATAGATTGATGGAGGTTTTCATCTAAGATCTAGAGTCCCTTAACCCTATGAGACTGTATAGAAAATCAAACACCTGTATATGTACATTGTAGGGGAAAAAGTCTTCATTAGGAAAAGGAAATGACTGTCAAAGTAATCGTTTTATCCCTAGACAGGTGCTGAGCATAATATCAAGAGACAAAATTTTGAATGCTATAATCTTCAATGTTGAAATCTCAAGATATCAAAATCCCTAAAATCCAAGATCTCTAATGTCAAATTCCCAAAAATTAAAATCCCCAAAGCTAAAATCCTGAAAACTGTAATAGAAAAGAAGAGCACCAGGTGTGAAACTATTCCAACAGAGTCACTGCCTGGAAAAAAAAAATGTGCAGGGTCCTGAGTTCAATCCCTGGTACCCAAATAAATAAATAAATAAAATATTTTAAAACGCAAGACTTCAAAATAGTTGTGATTCAGAAAGTCAGCCAGCCTTCATGGTCTACCTCTGTGAAATCACCCATAATCTGTCTCCATACACAGTTCATATATCGGACTTGTTTTTTCTGTTTTCATTATTTTTAAATTGTATTGTTTTACCTCTGCACCATTTCCAATACTAGAGATATAAACTATGTTAAGACTTTTAGAAAGTTCTAATCATTTTATCCTTTTGCAAATTTTACTCCATGAAAATACATTATCATAAGAATTAAGTATTGTGTATGTATATAAAACATTGAAACTTTTTTAATAAATGAAGAGAACCTTTAGGTATATCTGCATTTGTGAAACACAAAATTTCCCAAGATCTTGGTCAGCTCTTTGGCCAACTACATACTCAATGTATGGAGACTTTGATTATCATTCACAGTATTTCAGATGACATTAGTCATAAAGCTGGGTGCATCCTACCAACCATAGTTATATGCATTTATGCATTCTGCATTTTACCTATTTCTTCATGACTATGGTTCATGTGTTCCTATGTTTACTTGTCCAACTGTTGATAGCATACTGGTACATATGCTTTCAAAAATAATGTATGTTATTGGCCATTTTAATGTACAAAGTGACCTACGAAGTATTCTGTTTTTACATGCTTATCAAATCTTTTAAAAATACAATTATCTTATATAGAATTTTTTAAAGTTTTTCTAGAATTATATTCTTGAGATTTTGTTTTTCAAGGTTTTAGAGGGATTTTGGCCTTTCAAGGATCTCAACATTTGGGATTATAACCCAAACCCTAATGAGAAACCAATCATTTTTTAACCCATGTGAACTGTCATGTGTTGATGACTGTAGATTTTAGAGATATGTAAGATATATGTGTAAACAATTACAATGTCTAAAATTTCAGTAATGGCAGAGCTGTTCAGGTTCATGACATTTATGACTTAGAATACATCATGAAACAGTTTTCACTTTTACACATTATTTTCTGACTCACTTTAAATTTAATTATTCTCTGTACTGAGATTAGCTTTTAATTAAAAGGAAATACGAGATGAAATATCTGCATATCTGTAGCAAACCTGAAGTATACTACTACTAATAATTACAATAATGGCTAGGTTTATTAACTTGAACTACGATGGACAGTATGAACACTTACTTGGGAATATCTCACACATTTACAGCAACAATAGCTAGGTATTATTTTTAATGCCAAGAGGAAGTTAAAACTTACAGGTTAATAATCTGTTCAAGGCCACAAAGCCAGCAAACGACAAGTGGGGATTTCAAGTCACATTTTTAACTCCAGAGCCCTGACTTTGGACTCCAAAACAGTTCCAATAAAAACAACATAAATATCTGAGATTTACAACCTATTAACATTAAATCTTTTTCTCAGTAAGAAAAGGAGTAGCCATAATTGGGTACTAAGAACAGGGACACTGAGAACAACATGTAAGTACAGGAATACTAAGAATCACGAAAGTACTGAGAACAGTGTTCTAAGTTCAGGGTCCTAAGTGCAGAAACATCGCAAAAAGAGTATTAAGAACAGGGATAGTGAGAACACAGTACTGAATAGAGGCGACTACCTTCTCTAACCCAATTTACTCTAGGGCTCAAAGTCTGCTTGCTCCTTCAGAAATAAGTCAGATCAATCATTTATTATCAGCCGTTCCAGTCCATATCCCAGATCTTTGAAAAGACAACTGTTGTTGATGTGTCACGATTTTCACTGAAATTTATTCACTTATCACAAGGGTGCAACAGACTTGTTAAGGCTTTGCAGGCGTTCCCATAAATCCTAATTTACAGCAGGCACGCCCTCTTAGCACGAGAACCTAGCACTTTTGGGAACAGGTGGGATGGCCCTGGAAATAAGGTTTGCAGCAAGAGCGAGTCTTCCACCTCCCACTCCAAACGACCCTGGCGAGGTGCAATACCTCCAGTTTGACGTTTCCCGCGCTCCCAACGGATGCGGCCCCACCGCAGTTCAGGGCCTGGTCGCTCTTCTTCTTCTTGTACTTGTCCTTGTACATCTTGTTGCGGTGTTTCTTGCACATCCACGGCTTGCGCTGTTTGGCGACTTGGCTCGTGGTCTCGCTGCAGCCCTCGTAGGTGCAGGTCTTGCTCACGCAGACCCCGCCGCTGCCCCGCCTCCGGGGTCCCCCGC